GAAAAATCACAACTTCTATTATCCAAGGGAAGGATGGAGATTATGGGTTCGGGAGCATGCCTGGGTAGGAGTGACTTATAGCCACTCCCTACTGCTTCAGTTTAGCACAAGTGATCTGGCACATTCAATGAATTTAGCACTTATTTTCACTGTTAAATTAACTTAAATCTTAATTTTCCGAGGATACAATGGAAACATTTTTGCGCATTAAAACAGCACCAACACATCTGCATAAAAAAACCAAACATAAAAAATTTTCACAGATAAAATTTACAAAGTAGTTATACCTCACTAAACCACGAGCGAATATTGGAAGAGCCCGCTATTTTCTAACCGGGTTTCTCAATAAAGTGAATCACTTAACGAAGAATAGTACAAAAGCTGTCTCCGATAATAAAAGGTCATAGGTTGTACTAAGCTACCTACTTCTTGAGTTAGACGTTGGAGAATCTGCGCTTTTTGTCGAAGAGGATCAGCAGAAAAGCCATCGACGAAAAACGTAAGGCCATGAGGGAAATTATGCTGAGCTAGCCAAGCAGTTACACGCCGTTGCTGCATGTCTGGCCTCGCCGAGAGGTATATCAAGAGAAAGCCGAGGCCCTGCCAGTGCCGAGCAACATCCACTCCACCTGGACGGACTTTTGGATCCTATAATATGGGTATTAGAAGAGAGATTCGAGCGTAGACTTTATAAATTTAATTTTGGATACGATTAAAAGATATAAGAATAGTGACTATAAAAAGGAATAACGTGACTTGGCTGCTGAATAACGTGCCGACCATTCTTTAAAAATAAAGAGTTGGATGGATATCTGGCTAGGCGACAAAATTTCTGCAAGATGAAAATGCTTGAGGACATGGTTACCAGAAGTACTTGGCCGGACCGTGAGAATATGAGCATATTGGTAATGCATTTTTGTTATATCAGGTGAAATTATGGAATGCGAAATAAGTCTGAGGAGAAGTTTTTATTTTCTATAATATCTATTTCGGGCGGGTCCCAAATAAAAGTAACTATATAGATTTAAATGAGATTGTTATGTAATTTAAAAAGTTACATTTCTAAAATCAGTAAGGAACTTGGCAAACCAAATCACTAGCACTAGATAGAGCGAAAAAGCTTATGGTTTGCGCAGAGCCAAAGTGAAAAATCTTATATTGATGGCTATGTATTCTGTGAATTCCAGAAATTGATTATGAATGAGATTGAACTCAGAGCGATCGTTATGATTTCTAAGTATATATAAGATCCTTAAGTAACTATGAAGTAAACAGAAAAACCATAAAGTAAAGTTGAATGCTCACTTAATAATGAAGGCGGATAAGGAAAAGAGGTGCAAGTGAATATATAATAAAGTTGGATTTACATATTAACCAGAAAACATAGAATATAAATGGAATGGCCAAGAACCAGTTGCTAATGAACTCGAGAAGCAAAATATGAAAGCGTTTTTCACCAAACTAATCGCAATTACTAGTAACGCGCAAAATAAAGAAACAAATTTCCTATATAGAAAATTGTTAAATGATAGGAATGCCTGAATAATTGATGAGCAACAATGTGGTTAGCCTTCATATTGTCCATTTGTGTAGCAAAATCCATCTAGCTAAATAAATGGAAGCAAATGAAGCGAGCTCAAAAGAAAATTTAAGTAGTATAAGA